CCCCAGTGTCTTATGTCCATTGGTTATGCTTATATGCATGCATACAAGTCCTTCGGTTGATCTCTTACCCGCCTCCCTCCTGCCCCCCAACCCTCCCCGGCCTTTTGAGAACAAACCTATGACTTCCTCTACTTTTCTGCAATAATGAGTTAATGATACCTGAGGAATGTCTATTGCACTTTATAAAGCTCACATCTCTCAAAACTGACTGGGCAGAGCAGGATTGCATAAACATATGTTGGCATATGTGAGGAGTAATCTCTTGTAGGCCTGGATCATAACTCCCAGAGTTAGCCATATATTTTCTTGAAGGAAAAAGCTAGGTAAAAAGGAATCTCTAAGGATGGGGGCCAGAAGGCTGCTTTTTCATTAGAATCTGATAAATGCACGATTCCCTAATGAAGGTAAGGTCCATACATGTGTCATCATTCTTATGTGATCAACCATTTCTTTTCCTTACCAAAGGAACTCTGCCAACCAGTAAAGATTCCGTTTCATTATATAGTGCCTTCACATTGATGGCTATTTCAGTGGCAGTGTCTCTTGTAAGACTCTAGGAAAAAAAAAATCAAACACAAGTAGTTCTGTATTAAATTGGAATTCAATCATTAGCAAATATTTTCAATTTTATTCTTCCAATTTAAATTCACATCACAAATATTTTTTAAATCTACCAAAATTCTATTATAATTGCACAATTTCATGGTCATGTTTGTCAGCATAATTACTCTTCTAATTCTTGTAACCACCGACTACAGTGGATACACCCAGGACCATATCTCCTACGTACAAATACGTATATGTGACAACAATGTATACATATTTCCATAAAGAAGTTGTCAAAGAAAATCATGTTTTAAAAGGGGGATTATCTGATCATAATTAGTTCTATCCATGAATTTCACTCTCAGTAGTTCCAACCAGATTGCTTTTTAGACTTTAACCTGAAAGACTAACACTTATTTGTATATTAATATAGTTAACTTTAATTGAACAATTAAACATAAAATAATGTTATCTGTTTCCTATATGTTATATAGCCTTTTATAATATGTCACATTTCAAGGGAGTTATATCCACTCTATTATTAACTTCTACATTAAAAAATTGGGGGGAAAATAACAGAAGTTATAAAATTTTAATTTCTACATTAAAACTTATTAAATTTATTAGTTTGGTAAAGCAAAATGAAGTAAAATTAATTTCAGTGCACAATTTCAAAAATGAATGAACATCTTTAATAAAATGCATGATATCTAAGTTTGTTCTATATCTAGGTGTAGGGGAGAAGGTAAAATAGGAAATAAGGAAGAATGGTAGTAGTTAAAGGGAGAAAGAGTAGAAGGATAATAGCAAGGTGACAACTGATGGAAAGTTAAATAGAAAACATGAAGAGATGTAAGAGCAGGAATGGAAAAATGACAGGGAGAAGAAAATAAAAGAAATATTTGGCCACAAATTTACCATAAGTTTCTGGCAAAGATTCATATAGACTACATCATGTTCATCATGTTCTTTCTATAGAATCAAAATATATATGTAACACCAAAAAAGTCTGTGGAATCAGAATTTACCATTAGCTCCTCACCTCTGGGAACTGGGGGTTGGCTTTATTCAGTGCGTGGGAGCAAGCATTCACAGCATGGGCCAGTTCCTGCTCCAAGAGACAGTGGATTGTGGCTGCATCACAAATCCTGAAAGCAAAAACAAAACAAATGAACAAAAGACTGTTTTGAGCATTGCTGATTTTTCTGAAGTGTAGAAGTGGTAGATTAAACATATAATAAAGGTCATTAAGAAAAATTTTTAATGTTCAATTATGAATGGCACAGGGTAGATTTACAAAATTCAAACCCCATTGAAACAAAGAATACTAACCCCCAAAAATCTATATATATAAAAGGCTAATATGCAGTGTCCTCTTGGGAGTTAGACCGAGAGAACGGGAGTTCAATTGCTCACTATGATGCTATGACGTGTGCTGACTTCCAGGGGGTGGCACAGAATGAAGGCCCTGGCCAGCAGCCAGCAGCTGGGGAAGGAAGGCTCCGGCCAGCAGCTGGGGAAGGAAGGGTCTAAACCGGCAGTCAGACATCTCCCGAGGGGTCCCGAATTACAAGAGAGATGTCCAACTGCTGGATGTCTGACTGAAGGGATGGGGCCTAAACTAGCACTTGGGCATCCCCCGAGGGGTCCCAGATTGTGAGAAGGCACAGGCCAGGCTAAGGGGACCCCTGCCCCCACCTCCCTGTGCAAGAATTTCATGCACCGGGCCTCTAGTCTTTATATAAAAAGTTAGGCTTAGAATCAGATAAATATATTGAAGTGCTACTTGGAAAAGCAAAATATAGTCACACTTCATTTTGCAGTATCATTGGAAAGTGAGAGGGGTCCCAAATATAGAGAGTAGAAACGTATCTTTTATTCATTGAAAATTTCACCAGGAACAAATACAACAGATTAGGGGAAGAACATTGCCATATTTATCATCTATATGCTAAGTGTTTTATATATATTATCTAATTTAATATTCACAACTTAAAAGGTAGCTGTGATTAATTTTCTCCACTTAATGAAGACATGAGGCTCAGAGAGATTTAGTAATATACACAAAGCTAATAAGTAATAGAGCCAGGATTTGAATCTATGTCTATCCAGCTCCAAGGACTGTTGTGCCACCGTTCTCTGGAATTGAAACCTTTAAGAATAGTCCTAGAAAGACAAAATCCTGAAGGGCACTAAGGAAGAGAAGAGTCCAAAGAAGAGAATAGAGGAAAAGTTCCAACTGCTAGAAAATGATGTAAGGTTTTTCAGATGAGCAAGAAGGCAAGACTATTCAAACGCTTTTTGCTTCGCACATTTTCAAGGAGAATGATCTTCAATCTGGAAAGGGTAGAACAAAGATGAGACGAGACGGAAATCCTACATAGTTTAATCAAGAGTAAAGGAAAAGAATTTAATTATTAAGGACCATACAATTGATATCCATGGTCTAAAAGAACTTGCAAATGTCACCTCAGCATTCTCCCCAATAACCTTGAGAAATCATAAAGAACAAGTTATTTATCAGAATAGAGATGAGTAAATGTTATTCTAATTTTCAAAGAGAAAGTGGCAAATCAACTTCACATCAACATTCCCAACTGCTAACTGAATCTCCTCCTAGATATTTCTAATGTAATTGAAATTCTCTTAGCCTAATATGGAACCCACCCATCATCTTTCTCTCAAAATCTGCTCCTCTTCCTGAATACTATGGCTTTATCAAAGGCAACACAATCCATCCAGCCTTTCACTAGAAACCTTAGGGTCATCCTAATTCACACCCATGTACCAATTCTAGATGCCACTCTACCTTAAATCATCTTCTTCTTTCTATCTCTCCTGCTTCAATTCATTGTTTCCTAAGGATTCTTCTTCCAAGACTCAGCTGAGCAGTCACTTCCTCTAGGCAGCCTCCCTCACTGCCTCTGGCCTCCTCTGTGTGACACAGCACCCACTGTGTGACCTGTGACAACACTTCAGCCACATTTCTTCCTCCTACTACTCTGCCAGCAAATTAAGAAGAGGGACTGCAACACAGTCACCTTGGCATTCCCAGTGACTAAACTGATGGTTGGCACACAGAACATGTTCAAATTATTTGTTGAATATTGGATGAATAAATTTATTCATTTGATATTCAAATTGACTAGTGTGCCTGATTTTCACCTTTTGCAAAATTTAAAAAAAACAGATGGGAAACAAACTAGGTTGGCCAAAACCAAGTCTGGACAAGGTGTACTTCCTTTTTTGATAAGGTTATTTGATTGTTTGACAGGATGATAATATAGGAAGTATATTTTGGTTTCAAGAAAATGATATAGTTCTATCTTTAAATTTTTGAGGAACATCCATATATTTTTTATATTATGTATTAATTACTTGATTGTGGTAAATATTTTACAGTGTTAATGTACACCAAATCATAACATTGTACACCTTAAATATAATTTTTATGTTAATTATACCTCGATAAATCTGGGGGGTAAACTGTAAAATGGAGTCCATAGATGTTGTCCATAGTATCTAAAAGAGAAGTATTTACTCTAAAACTAATATCTCTGTGGATAAGAATCTAAATGTACAAAAATGCAGTCATGTGAGTTTAGCTGACTCAATATTCATTTTCCCTACATTTTTTCTAAGCAACTCAGTATCTGGCAGTTATCATACTTTATTCTAATTTTGAATTTTGGTTTCTAGCAGTAGGGAGTATATGCCTTTTTCTCAGTATCTCTAGCATCAAGCACATTCTAGGTGTCTGAGAAATAGTTAAAGAGGAGAATAAGGAATGAGGGGGCGGGAAGCAGACAGTAGGTAGGAGGGAGGGAAAGGGGGCAAGTAAGCCTCCAGTACCACTGAGCTCTATTTTCCTTCTTTTCTTTTTCAACATTGTAATCGTGTCCAGATGAAGGTGTGGGAAGAATATAATAGCTACCATTCAGAGAACACAACATGTGCCAGACATGATGTGTTAACAAGCACTGTACATGGTGGGTCTCATTCAATATTCACAGTGACCTGGGAAGGCAGCTCCTACTTACCCGCACTGTCCGTGGTGCCTCCTTCCCTCTGAAGGTTACTCCTGGTCTTGGTGATTTTATGTCTTACACACATAGAACTTGTTATTTCTATCTTTTCCCTTTCTGTCTACTAAAAACAATTTCTGTGTGGTCTCTCAATCTTTGGAAACTGATTCTCGGGCTCTTCCCATCCCCTCCACCCCCCGACTCTCCTTGGGAGCATTGTTTCCATTTCTTTCTACAATCTATCAACATTTAATTAATAATTAATTATAAGGCAATATATGTCAGCAAAGACTGCGTATAAACTGGGGAAACAAACAGTAACAGAGAGTACTGTATGCTGGGTACATTAGGCAAGCTCTCCATGTGTTTCAAGAAGTGCAAGACCTGTTCACAGTCCCAGAGAACACAGGTGTGAGCATATGTGCTGGAGGGGATCTGATGAAGGAGAGCAGCAAGTATTGAGGCAGCAAATGAAGAAGGAGCGAAAATTCATCTGTTAGATACCCCAAATATATGAAATGATATATGACTCATAAAACAAAAATGGCCAAGACCAGAGTTCTCACAGCCCAAAAGCCAGCAGGACCACCCTACCTCGTAATGAGCTCCTCCGCAGCTTGGGAGCACAGCTGCATCTGAGACACCTCCTCCGTTGCCAAGTCAACAGCATGTTGGATGTACAAATGGGTTCGAAGAACTGGTTTACCAGAATCACACTTCTGCTTATCTTCCCAAGATTTCAGAGTGCTTTCAAAAGCCTATTTAAAAATCAATATTACAATGAACTGTTAGTTTAGAGCCTCAGAAACCCAAATAAATGTGTATTTAGATATTATGCCTTTAAAACATCTATTGGCTTTTTTCCTAATTTAACACATCATTAAATAAATCATAAGTATAAAAAACACACTTTAAAGTTTTCCAGCATATCACAATAAATTAAAAGTAATGTAATTGTTGATGATAAATATGTTATTAAAATGTTAAAAAAAAAGATAGCTTCAATATTTTTATTATTATTATCAATGTATAACAGATAGGATAAACATTGGCAGTCTTATTTGTTAGGTGTGTGACTTTAATTAAAAAATGCATATTCTTGCCCAGCCTGTGTGGCTCAGTGGTTGAGCATTGACCCACGCACCAAGAGGTCAATGTTTCGATTCCCCAGTCAGGGCACATGGCTGGTTTGCAGGCTCCATTCCCAGCCGGGGCATGCAGGAGGCAGCCAATCGATGTTGATGTTTCGCTCTCATTGATGATTCTCTCTCTCTCTCCCTTCCTCTCTCTAAAATCAATAAAAACATATTTTAAAAATAAATAAATGAAAATGCATATTCTAGAAAAGGCAAAACTATGGAGATAGTATAAAGATTGGTGGTTTCCAGGGGTTGGGGTAAGAGAGGGAGGGATGGATAGGTGGAGTACAAGGAATTTTTAGGGCAGTGAAACTACTCTGTATCATCCTGTCATGGTGAAGACCAGTGATTATACATTTGTCAAAACCTACAGAATGAACAGCAAACAGTAATGCAAACTAAAAGACTTGAATTAATAATAATATATCAATATTGGCTAATCAATTGTAAAAAATGTGCTAATACAAGATGCAATAATAATAGAGGCATTTATTTGCTTGTCCAGGTGATGAGGTCTGTGGGAACAGAATTAAAATTTTCTGCACTTTCTGTAAACCTAAAAAAAAACAACCTATTAACTTTTTAAAAAACTAAAATATTTGTTCATATTTAAAACCACAATGACTTAAATGTCAGATTTAAATGGCAATTTCAACCTTTTCTCTTGATTTCTATTTTTTTTTGGTGACAATTTAAGGTATTTTTAGAAGGCTTAATAAAAGTCTGGAGGAATGTTTTTGATTACATACCCTGTCCCTTGTTAGCATCTGAGCTCTGTTCTTGTGCACAATTTTGATAATCCCTGGAGGCTGAACCCATGCTTCACCATCCACCTGCACTGGGACTCCCTCATCACCAAATATAGTGATTTTTACTGTACGGCACTGAAATAAAACAAGTTATTTTAGAATACAAATCATCCTGAGAAATTGACAATCCACATTCAAGCTTGACATTTAGTCCAGACTGTGGAATGGTATGTTATAATTTTCCACTTACAATGACATAGTAACAACTGACATGACAAGAAAGTCAATATTTTAAAATGAATATACAGTGTAGGAGTCATCTGAAATAGCTTCCCCAGTGTCCCAAGTAGTGAAGTCAGATCCGATTAGAAAAACAAACCTGGGCTATTCGATGATGCTGTAGTTTAATGACCCTTGAAACCGCCATTTGCACACTATCAAATATTGCAACGACTTCCAGGATCTTGTCATCAAATGATGGTGCAGCAAATATCTGAAAGGAAAAACGATATTACACTTCCACTAATGAAATTAAGGTTTAAGTTAAGTCAGGCAATGCAAACTCTGTAATATACATAGTTTTAAAAAATTATAAAAATACTAAGAAAATGAAGTATTAGTAGGAAATGATAACCCAAGGACAAAGATATCGCTGAAGATGTCTTAAAACAAACAAACCTAATAAAAATAGGTTTTAAGACCCACACGACATAATACTCATGCTCCTTATAATTCATCTTGGTATAAAATGTATTAAATATCTGTTTATAGATAACTCAAATGTCTTGACAAAATGATGCCTGCAGTTTTAAGAAACCTAAAAAAACACAACCAAAGGGGATATAGATTTCATAAGGTTAAAGCTAATGAACATGAAGATTATGATCCAGTTCACTTGGTAAGCTTTAAGGGAATCTTTCAAGGTGTTACAAGCAATATGTATATGTGCTTTCTATATTAATACAATAACTCTTTAGGGCATTTGAGAATATGGACAAGAAACCTCAAGGGATAAAAATCATGTAAGACTTACTTTGCTTTGATGTTAACTGGATTTTCACAAAATTAATTTAACCTAAAGTTTTAAATTTCACCTATATTACTTTTCCCCTTTTACTTTCTTTTACTATATCATAAATAATTAGACCTCTGGAAAAAAAATTCAGTATAAAGCAGTGTCCTAATGAAAACATTCACTGAAACTATCAGGACACAAATTTGCGAACATTGATAATTATCGCTTCTGTCATCAGACTGCCTAGTTTTTTAAAAATATATTTTTATTGATTTCAGAGAGGAAGGGAGAGGGAGAGCTGCCTCCTGCATGACCCACACTGGGGATGGAGCCCACAACCCAGGCACATGCCCTGACTAGGAATTGAATCTCGACTTCCTGGTTCATAGCCACACTGACTGGGCAGCTTTATTCATCTTAATCTCATTAATTTCTTCCCCTTAAAATATTTAAGAGTAGTGACAGGCTGCTCTGGTGGAGTGGGTCAGTGGTTAGAGTGTCGCTCACCAAAGGGTCTCTGGTTCAATTCTGGTCAAGGGCACATACCTGGGTTGCATGTTCCATCCCCAGCCCTGGACAGGGCTCATGCAGGAGGCAACCAATCAATGTGTCTCTCTCACATTGATGTTTCTTTCTCTATCTCTCTCTCTCTCCCTTCCCTTCCACTCTCTCTGAAAAAATCAATGGAAAAATATCCTCAGGTGAGGATTAACAAACAAACAAACAAACAAACAAACAATGAGTAGTGACAGGCTGACAATAAACTGACTGCTCATGTTAGTTTTTATACTTCAATAGGAAGTGAATATATTCACATTGTAAATATTAAAAATTCTTTCCAATATATTTATACTTTAATTCCTGCATGCTTATTTAATAGCTCTGAGAAAATGGGTCAGTGGAACTGTTATATCATAAGCCTCAAAGCAAAGGATCTATTATTGAATGTATGTGACTCTTCAAACAAAGATGGTGATAACACTTCTCATTTTTATGTTATATATACTTTAATAATTGTGTCCTTGCTTTTAAAAATTATTTTTAGAACAATTACCTTTCTTAGGTTGTGTGTTTTTCTTTTTTAATATAGGAAACTATAAAAAAGAAAACAAAAATAGCACTCAACCTCAATGGCCAAATAAACCCTCTTGACATTTCTAAAATTAAAAAAAAAATAATAATATCACATAAATTTAGAAAACTACAAGTACAGAAAGGTATTTTGATAGATAGAATAATGGCCCCCAACAACCCTAAACAAAATGTTTCTGTCCTAATCCCCAAAACCTGTGAATATTACCTCACTTGGCAAGAGACTTTGCAGATGTGATTAAATTAGGGATCCTAAAATGGGGAGATTATCCTAGATGATGTGGGTAGGCCCAATGTAATCACAAAGGTCATTTAAAGTAGAAGAGGAAGGCAGTAGAGGAGATCAGAAAGATGCAATGCTAGAAGACTCAAGCTGCCCTTGTTGTCTCTGAGGATAGAAAGGGGCCACAAGCCAAGGAACATGGGCAGCCTCTAGAATCTGGAAAGAGCAAGGAAATACTTACATCATCCTCTTTAGTTCCACCCCAAAAGTTAGTGCCTCCGGCATAGCTGGGAATGTTCAGTACTGCTATTCCTTGCAGACTGGGGAGAGGAATATACTGTCCATCACACTGTAAGGTAAAAAGCTTAGAAGTTAGATAAAAAGAGGAAAACCACTAGTTTGGAAGCCAGTAGTATACCAAAGACAAAGGATGACGGAGGCAAGTGTGTTGGTAATGTTTGTTTCCCTGTAAATATATTCCTAACATTACTTTTATGGTCTTTGATTTTAATTTAAAAAATTGGAAGTGTACATAACTGTAGCAGAAGGTTTTACAGAAAACCAAACTAAACAACAAAAAAAGGTTTTACCTCTTCTTTTAACCAAAATCAATCAATACTTATCTTGAGGTTATTTTTTTCAGGTCAGTTATGATATTCTCACTTATAGTATCACTAGATGCCCAATGCACGAATTTCGTGCAAGAGCAGGCCTTCCTTCCCCTGGCTGCCAGCACCGGCTTTTCTCTGGCTCTGGCTTCATCCTGAAGGACATCTGGTCTAATTAGCATATTACGCTTTTATTATTATAGATAATCTTAGTATGTATATTAAGCTTTCTTTTGAAAGTGGCTGCTGTGAAGGTCCTAACCATTTCATCTAGTACATCTCACAGCTTCCAGTAATTTGCTAGTGCTCTGTATCTGGTTAAACTCAAACTGAGTTTTTTAAGTAGTCAGAACCAAAATCAAAAACACACATGTATGTCAAGAAGTATCTTATACTCCATGCCTTCTAAGTAATCACTTAGATGAAAATTAAATGATCACTTAAATAAGAAAAAGATATCAATTATACATGACATGAATAAATTCTTACTGAATAGCCTTCATTTTAAGAGTTTAGTTTGCAGATGTCATACTTAATATACACGCTATATTTTCATTATGTAATTATTATGTTAACACTAAAAATAATTAATATAACTTTACAAAAATTGCATTTAAAGTTCAATAAAAATTATCTCAATCTTTAAGGCAAATGAGCCTTGCTTGCTTTACTCCTCTCAGTATCATAGACCTGCTCTACTTCTTTTCAGTTTCTAAGCGTGCTATAGTTTGCCCAATATTCTACTCTGTTTTATTTAATGGCAGCCTGGTTTTAGATACTTCATCATAGCTAAAATCCAGGACATATAATTTAAAATATGAGGGAAAACTTTAGGTAGTATTATGTAGTTCCTGTTATATGTTATTTTAAAATGTTATCTCATTTTATTTGAAAACAACCTCAGTAGACACTATTACTTCCATTTCTTTAAGGAAGAAGGAGGAAAATGACAACTAACTGGTAGAGAATTTTCAAAAGAATTATCCAGAGTTAGATCAGTGAAGGAATAAGAAAAGGAAGAGCATGAACAAAAGTGCATAAAAACATGTTTTCCTGGAGTTTTAAAGATTAACTTTATTTTCTTGAGCAGAGGATTAAAAATTAAGAGAGAGATAAAGTAAATCCTGGGAGGTATACAACTGTGAAAAGCACTGAATATCAACTTAAGGAATATAGGTTTTATTCTGTAAACATTGAAACACCACTAAGTGATCTTTCTGGTACTCCTTTGAATAACTGTCCACCAACTCAAATTGGAAGTAGCTTCACCATTGCTGGGATATGCTATTTATTGGCTGATTCACAAAGAATTTTGAAAATAATAGTTTGAAAGAAAGATAACCTGTTCCAAATTAGAAGTTTTATATCTCTGGAATACAAAGCCTATAGTGTTATTATTTTTTTTTTTAAGATCTTTATTGTTGAAAGTATTACATATGTCCCCTTTTTTCCCATTGACCCCACCCTGCCACATGTCCCAGGCCTCCACCACCCTATAGTCTGTGTCCATGGGTTATGCATATATGCATACAACTTTTTTGGTTGATCGCTTCCCACCCTCTGGGATTCCACAGTCTGTTCCATGCTTCTATGTCTCTGGATCTATTTTGTTCAACAGTTTATTTTTTTCATTAGATTCAACCATTTAAAATAACTCAGAATACCATATAATCTTAGATATAGAATCTAAAAAAAAAGCTCATAAATACGGAGAAAAGATTGGTGGTTGCCAAGAGGCAGGGGGTGGGGGATGGAAGAAATGGGTGAACTGAGTTGTGTTGTGTGTTTTTTTAGTTTAAATGAAAAAAATCAGAGCAGCTTTAAAGATTTATAAATGAATACACTTTATTTGGATACATGGTATGAAAAAAAATTAACATCTCATCTTCAAAGGAAGTTCTATTTAAATTGCTTAATTTAACATACTCTCTAATAGTTTAAATATTTCATTAATTAATTTCCATATTAATGGTTTCTTTTTTAAGTCTATGTATTTTACATAATGCATTTAGAAACAATATTCTCAGAGGAGGTCCATGGTTTCAACAGCATGCCACAGCTCAAAAAGGGTTAAAACCCATGTTAAATGGAGTGTAAAATGCAGCTGCATAAGGAAGATGGTCTTTTTAAAAAATATATGTATATTTTTTATTGATTTCAGAGAGGAAGGGAGAGGGAGAGAGAGATAGAAACATCAACGATGAAGAGTCATTGATCGGTTGCCTCCTGCACACACCCCACTGGGGATCAAGTCCGCAACCTAGGCATGTGCCCTTGACCAGAATCGAACCTGGGATCCTTCAGTCCACAGGCCGACGCTCTATCCACTGAGCCAAACCAGCTAGGGCAAGGAAGATGGTCTTGCTCTAAATCTGGACCACCAATAGAAAAGGTTAGAAATACTATTTCTGAAGAGCTAAAGGAATTAAAGCAATCAGGCCATTCTGATTCCAGAAAGTTCACAGTACTTGCCAAATTATGGTTAAATGATTATTTACCTCTGTTTCTCCCTCAAGACAGGGCCAGGAAATGTGCAAGACACTCGGGATAACAAAGATGAATACAACATCCTACCTATCCTTAAAGAGTGTGGCTAACTAGAGGATGTGGATAAGAAAATGAATGATTACAGTACAATGCAGAGGAGAGAACCCAAGTTGATCTAGGGATGGGCTGTCAGGACAACATTTACTAGTTTTAAGCCTTCCAAATTCTTCACCTTTTCGGTGAGTAACATCTATCTTAACTTTTAAAAGCATTGATTAATCAAGATAGTTGATCAAGTAGTCAGTGCTCTAGAGTAGAAAGTATAAGAAGCTTATCTTTACTAGAACATTTAGTTGGTAAGAATTGAGCCAGGCACTCACTAGTCCACATTCCAGAGTTAAAATAACACTTACAATAATAATCCTTTGTTTAGAGAACCAAGATGGCGGCATAGGTAAACACCAGAAATTGCTGCCTCCCACAACAAATTCAAAAATACAACTAAAAGACAAAACGAACATCATCCAGAACCACAGGAAGGCTGGCTGAGTGGAAATTCTACAACTAGAAGAAAAGAGAAAAGCACACTGAGACTCAGAGGAGCTGCAGAAGTAAAGTGCAGAGGTACAGAGGCGCACGCAGCAAGGGCTGGCAACTGAGGACACGGCTGTCTTTTTGAATTGGGAGGGAGTCACAAGCCCCCGACTGCTCTGAACTCCAGTTCCGGGTGAGTCTCTGGGGACCCAGACTCATACAGGAAAACTGGACTGTCTGGCAGCGGGCAGAACTCGGAACTCGAGGGCGGCTTTCTCTCAAAGGTGCTTGCGATTACCAGGACACTGAGACATGGGCCTCCTTAGGAAGGGCTGAGGATCAGCCATAGCTGCTTGCTCTGCCCTATTGATTCCCTGAGACCCCGCCCCACCCAAGCTTCAGCAGAGGCTTTTGCATATGAATGCCCTGGCCCTTTGCAATCTAAAATTACCTAACTAACTGTAGCTGGGTCAGAGAGACCCAGAACACCCAAAAAGAAGGCCCAAGGCCCCACAGCAGCTTGCATTGCTTCACAGCTGGGCCTCATTTGGGCAACTCCAAACCCCAAACAAGGAAGGGGAACCTGCAGATCTCTTCGTAGCTCCTGCTGGGTAGCCTCCAGCAGAGGCTAAATTAGCACCTCCTTAGA